GTAGAAATCAAAATATATGGGATGGACACTGAGAAGTGTCAAAATTTACGTCAATTCCATATAATTTAGTTGTCTACTGTACAAGTAGACAAGCGCTAAATGGAATTTGGCTACAGCTGTAGGTTTTTTATATCAGGACTGTGTACACGCTAACTCAAAACCAAATTATTAATTAACTAGACCAATAGAGCATATTTTAAGATAAAAAAAAATATTTTTTAATCTATATTTTAATCTTCAGGAATATATACTTATCTACTCAGTTAAGCATAATAATTATTGTGTTCTCGCGACCGGTTCGGCTCTAGTCGGCATTCTCACTAAACTTAATAGAAATAGTATCTAACTCGAAACTTCTTTCGAAGACTAAACCTATTCCCTTTTCACGCCCAGCAACTAAAACCCGGTGTACGATAAACTACTAAATTCATTTTGTAACTTCACTCTCTTCGCGAGCAGCGTTAAGTTTTCGATCAAAAGTTTTACTCGAGTCCATTTCGATTCGCGTCCATTTTAACTGCAGATATCAGATGGTACGGAGCACCTATCCAGACGATTTTGATAGCAATCTATTGGCTGGACAGAAATTTAAATCGTACTTTTAGTTGCGATGATAGATTGAGTTGTTGGGGCTTTTAAAAAGGCCTTACTGATGATGGAGACGACTAGCTTCAAATTGATCGTTCTCATGACGGATAATATTGTTTTTATAAGGACTATCTTGAGACATACTGAATTACCTGTAACAAGGTACTCACGTAAGTATACTGAGAAACGCTCTACTAGTTTCGAGGCACAGAAGGATTTTTCTTTATGAGATTTTTTTATTTTGACGTGACAACGTCTTAAATTAGGTTGCGGCTGGGAGTCACTTATGAAAAAGTGTAACGCTCGGTAACGTTACGATGAGTCACCGAACGAGAGAGAGGCCCGCCGAATGCCTTGCGTCTCTCTCCCACTCAACTATGATCGGTCTGCCGCGCGCGCAGCACTAGTTCATTCAATTCCTTGTTCCTATTGTGCAATTTAATTATATTCATATCAATAAATATTCTACCGAGAAAAAGACGTTGTCACGTAAAATCTTCGCCCGTAAAAACGACTTTACAGGCAACCATTTTTTTTTGTTTCTAAACTATGTACATACTACTATCATTACAGGTACTAATACCTAATGCAATAGCGTATGCCAATATTTATAGAATTAAATTACTAAGTCTCTATTTTACAATTACATCTACAACATTCATCATTATGGTAACAAACATATTCCTTAAGCTAAATCATAGATGGGTACAGGTACAGTAACAGGCTCTTCTGAATTCGTTCAGTGTACAATTAAATATGTCAATATATTCGGATATCACATTGAAGCGTGCGCGGTCGCGGTGAAGTCGCGCAACTTTTTGTCTTGATATACATATCACAATGTCAAGCCTTCTAATGGCTAAAGGATGCTTTGTTGCTTAATTTGCATATACATAAAACAGCCACTTTTTATAATGAGTTTCGTGGAACAAGGGATGAACCGATTGACATAAATCACACACAATGTCGTAGTGACCCGGTATTATAAGACGCGCGCTTCTCATGCAGGAGAGTGCGGCTTCGAGACCTAACAACGGCAAGTACTAATGTGACTTTATCCGAGTTATATTAGCTTTCTAATTATATTTAACTTATTTTTATACACCACTGACAAACGGTGAAGGAAAACAACGTAAGCCAACCTGGGCTTACAATTTCTAATTATTATAAGTTTAAAATCGCCAACCCGCATTGAGCAATCAATGTTCACACCTTCTCCGTGTGAGAGGCTTTGTTCAGCAGTAGGCATTTATAGGCTGTTGATGATGATGATGATGATACACAATTCCGAACTCCGTGTGAAATTAAGACATTTGTAGGCAATAGGCTCACACCCTTTTATATGGGACTCATAACATAAATAGTGAAAAGTGGGTGTTACTTCTGTGTGCACCTCTGCCTTCCCCTTCGGGGATAAAAGGCGTGATGTTATGTTATGTCTTCTAACTTAAACGGATTACATACATTACATATAACAACAAGATCGTGTCTTTCTGTTCAGACTCAGACATAAATATGTTGTAAAAGCCTAATATCTGATTCCACGTGCTGTTTTCATTTCACATCTGCACTGGACGTTGTACTATCGACGCATTATTTGGAGTACTAAGTAATTATATTTATTCGGCTTGCTTCATTTAATGAGATTCTTTTTCTTGTGTTATGTTATGTTAACTCGGATGCCTAAGAGGAGGTTTTTTTTAAATTTCTGTCTGTCTGTTTGTACCGGCTAATCTCTGAAATGGCTGGACCGATTTTGAAGAGAATTATACTGGCAGGTACTAACAGATGTAGGAGTCTGTAAGGAGTATGTGTACTAAGGAGTAACATTAAGCTATTTTTATTTTAGAAAATTAAAACCAAGAAAGAGTTACGTTCTAAAAAAATTCATATTCTACGCGGACAAAATCGCGGGCAACTGCTAGTTAATAGATACAATTTTGTTACCGGCGGCCAGTATCAATTTTTCTTCTTTTTGTCATCAATCCTAAAGCTTGTCTATCAGCTTCTCCGTTACTATCCTTTCCTTTTATTGACTTTTTGCAATAGAGGTATATTATTTTATGCTTAAATCAAACCAAATGAAATGCATGTCGGTCTCGAGAAACTTGTCCAATTGTACCTAAAATTGTACTGGCATCGCACACAATCTGAATTTAAACTAGTTCTGCACCTCGCTCTGGATTATACGAGTATTCTCACATGGATACCTAACTGTAAAGGAATACGTTGCAAGAATTATTCTTTTAAAATCAGAAATATAAGACACCTTACTTACTTGACTGTCACGTGATGTGAACTGTTATTTTAAAAGAGGAATTAAGAAAGAAGACAGACTATGAAATGTAACTTTTTTAGTATTTTAAAATAAATATGCCCTAGTTATGCCTGTTGTGCCCTATTTGGCAAAAATGAGTTGTCGCCAGTGGCGTAGCGTATCTTGGCGTATGTTCGAGTAGAGATTTTTTTTACTAAAATAATATTTCTGCCCAAATTATCGGACAATGATTAAGTACTTTAGGTTTCCAGTTTCTGCTGTGGAATAAATTTCTCTACTCCAATGCCAACCTTTTTTTTTAGTTCCAAGTGTTACCAATAGATGGCACTACTTGTTTTATGTAGTTTCTCAGCGGAAGGACGAAATTCACGACGATGAATTGACTAACAAATTCAAATTCAAATTCAAAATTCAACATTCATTCAATTCAATCATTGAATCAACGTTTTATTTACGATTTATAAATAAGTTTCACTAAATTAGAATGAATTCATTAATATACCTCTAATTATGATAATAATAAAACACAATCTTTTAAAAAAATGTATATTAATACTCTTACATCTCTTTTTGTATCTAAATACAATATTTACAGGCTTAATCACATAAGTAACTAACTATAATAATTATTATATATTTCGGGATCTAACCCAATTTTGTTACTGATAGTTTTATATCAGTATTATTTTGTTGCCCAATTTGCAGGCAGTGTCAGGCAGTGTAACAGCTGTTTTTGAGTATTTCGTATTATTATTTATAGTACAAAAAGCTTCAGTTTGCTACTTATTATTACATATTAATATTACAATTATACAATCCTAAAGATACATAATATTTATTTGTTTCCATTTCTCTCTTGGCATAATTTAATTATACTTTTTGTGGAATAAGGTTCTATTATAATGATTAACGCCAACGCCATATTGTTTAATTTCTTTGAAGGCCGATATTTCAATTATCAGTTAATAATTGTTAACTATAGAATAAAATTGATATTTGACAGTTTTTAGTAAGGAAGAATCTAAGAATTGTCAAGTATTCAAAGTTACTCCTCGGCAAAAATTTATCTGGCGACGAAAAATAGGCCATAAGCCTTACATTTTTGAAATTGGTGTTTTTGTTCAAGAGATTTTGGGCGTACCTACATACGTTAAATAATTTAAGTTTGAACCTATTTACTCTAATTTGTAATGAAGATCTTTTTCAAGTGTTCTACATAAAATAAGAATACAATGCAAATGTTTTTTTTAATATTAATTTTAATTAAAAGGTGGATTTTGATATGTAAATATAAATATTTAAAAAAGTAATGCCTTGTTTCTGTCTACAGACTAGAAATAAAATAAGAGAGATGTTCACTCGAAGCATCGTGCCATCTCCATGGAAACACGCAATTATGTACCTTTGGGAGCGTAAATAACTAGTCTAAGAAATATAATTTAACAATAGCTATAGCTAAGAAATATTCAGTAGTAATGTTAAAGAAATTTACATTTTGTTTATCACACAATTCCTTTCATCCACTATCTATGAAGCCAAGTAACGCCAATAAATAATAATGAAATAGAGTAACTATAATAGGATTGGTGGTGCTTCATTATTTTATGAAGATATAAAATATGTTAATGACGAAACGTGTCAAAATAATACAGATTTTATTTCTATATTCTTTAGATAATGTTGTAGTTATTAAATTTGGTTTCTGCAATCATATTATTGATTTTGATAATAGTGCTTTTGGAATGAAGCGCCTAATTTTCGGCCCATATTTTCTGTCTTCATAAGCCATTGTAGTGGCACAACTCAAAATGGCTCACAATTCCCTTACAATAAATTCGATTTTCGTATAAAAACCTAACACACCATCAAAGAAGTTTAAGTAATCTCGAAAGATAAGTTAGTATGTCATCTAGATAAACCTAATTTTGAACACTATGTATTTATAAAATTATTGCGATTTACATAGCTAGAAACAGGACCTAAAAACACCGAATATTAACTAAATAATGTCAACAAAATTTAATAGTTGTTACTTTCAATGTGGATTGCATGTTTTATTACTATTTATTTAAAAACTTTTTAAAATTATTATCGTTTTGCGGCGGGGGCTTGTGTGTGATGGGTGCATCCTTCGACATTTTCTGGCCAATCACAGACGTTCTCATTGTAGTTGAAGACCAAGTTTTGTGGACAGGGCATGTGGTGTTTCCTCTCTCCTTCACACATGTAGTACATGGTGCAGTCAGCCTTGTCAGGGTGGTAAGAGATGTGGCCGTCTTCTTCTTCGCATACTACTTCGTTAGCTGTGGAAAAACGAATACGCTTATAATGTGTTTTAGGTATGACTTCGAACAATTTATGGAAGTCGAACATAGTTACATGCTTAGCAGTCATGAGCCATAACAGTAGTATCCTTTATAATTATAATACTATATTCCTATTTGAGAATTAAGACAAATATAATTGGATACACAAGCTACAATAAAATTGAGGATAGCCCTTGAGGACCGCATATGTCCAAATATTTAAATGGCACTCGATTTTAAGAGTATAGTTCTGTCACTACAATTATTTTGTAAAATGACAGAGATGGCAAGATATTTAAATATATCTAAAATTTGAACAGCCTTTCAGTATTCAGGTGTTAGCGTCTAATGTTGTGATTATGAATTTACACTTACATAAAAAAATAGCTATTTAATGAAATGAGAAATTCAAAACCCAAATAAAAAATACTTACGATCTTTAGTAGTATACTGCCCATTAGGGTTGGATGATTCGTAAGGCCCATCGTATTCCAATCTGACTTTGTAGTCTCCAAGCTCTTGCTTCATAGCGGTGATGAGAGGATATTTGCCGGTACCACAAGATCCTCTGAAGTCATCCATATCTACGGACCAGACCATAATACCACCGAACCCTTCTTCTTTCAGCCAGGCCATCTGGAATGTAAGAAAATAGTTCATTGTAGTTACTGGCTTCTCCACGTTCAAAGAGGCTTTTGTCCAGCAAAAGGACAGCCTCTGGCTGATGAGTTAAAAAAGGTGAATTATAGAAAATAATAAAAAAAATGAATCTAAAAATTAAACGGGTCGAATCAAGGAAGAAAAAGAAAATGAAGAAGAAGACATTATAATGAAGTTTTATAGAAAGTAATAAAATAAAAATGCAAATTGCGTCGACGTCGGCTAATTTAGGATCGCCAAAAGCATCGGAAAATATTAAAAATGATTTTTGCTTAAATAGTCGAATGGACCAACTCAAAGACTACAATTACCTTAGTCTTCAGTGATCTCTCATCATCGAATCCGACCCATTGGTCATCTCTGTACGCGAAGGGCACCATCTGTTCGTTGTCCCAGACAAGAGTCGTGTTGTCTTCACGAAGGAACTCGCAGATTTCGTAGTAGGACATGAAACCAGCCTCGTTCGTGAAGCGACCAGCAGCACCTGATGTGGAGTCAAGAAAAATAAGATTATGATAAAAAAGGTTTTCAGTAAAGTGATCTTCTAAGAGCCCATCTGTTTTTGGCTATTATCTGACGACCGTAATTGAGATGTATTTTTTTTTCACATATATTCTGCAACTTGACATTCTTTGTGATATTACCAATGATCTATGCTTTAAGTACATGACTTTGTAATAGCAGTTGTAAACTAGTAGTTGTCTTATTGTAAAGCGTCTAACCTCGTGGCAATGGTATTGGTAGATACTACTAATAATTTCACAAGTAAAAGCTCTTTGGCTTCAAATTTTGTTGCAAAATGTCAAGATTTTTTTATTGTTCTAAAAAATTTTAACTTATTTTTAACCCATTTATCGACCCTTGTGGTCAATTGACCAGGACTAACAATTGTTGATTGTATGTTTGTTTGTGCGCGATAAACTCGCGACTGGCTGAATAGATTTTATTATGGTTTTCAGAAAAGTATTTATCACACTTAGGAGTAGGTTTCAGTACCCATATTAATTTACCGGCTTCAAAAAAAAATGGGCTTAAAGTCGGTTTTTTAAAGGTACTTTACGAAATAATAATTGGAATTTATAACACTTAAATATGACTCACATTGTCAACAACATAATAATATTCTGTATAATGGATGTCAATAATTTCAACTTACCACCACCAGACGCAGGAGCTCCGATGTCAAACTGTGTGTCATTGATCAAGGTGAATGACCTGCCGTACGTGGGCATACCAATCATTAGCTTCTCTTTAGGAGCACCCTGTCTAACCCATTCTCGGGCTGAGTAGTCCTGGAAGATACAATAATTGAATGTTATATTAAGTACTGAATATCTAGCTAGGTGATACACAGCAAGAAAATAATAATTGCATTGCGTCGAGCATGCATGAAAAGATTGATGACTGTTGATGACGCGAAAGAGATATGTAGGAAAGGTAGCAATTGGCGTTTCATAGTCTCTGCCTAGCCCCATGGGAGACAGGCGACAGTTATGTATGTAGGAATAAGAATAATTGATACAATCTAACACCAACTATAAGTTTCATTATAATAATTAACAGCAAAAGTTTTGTTATACATAGAATATTATTTATCAAATCAGCATTCATATTTTAAAAAATAAAAATAATATTTATCTTAATAAAATAAATCAATGCCAGTTGAAAATTAAATAATTTAAATGTTATCATAGTAAACGTACTTGGATTCTTAGATTTCAACCAATTTTACAGATAAAAATAAAGAAACAATAATAAAAGATTTGTGGTCTTTTCGTTCAGAAAAGGACCAACAAAATTAGTAGGGCCACGTGTAATACCCCGTTTGATTAAACGTGGTTTAGACAATCCTATATAAATATTATTTTAAATTATGAACCAAAGTTTAATCTGGGTATTTTAATTGAGAAACGAAACACGCTATTTTTCAACTAGCAATTTGCAATTTACTGTTTCTAAATAAAAAAAAAACAATTTTTACACGAAATTGTGTATTGTGACGTCACAATAGTTTGCATCAATAAATATTTATACTATATACGATTATTATGAAAATTAAGTTCATAATGAAATCAATGAATAACGGCGTGATTATTTGTAAAATTTTATAGTGCATATTAAAAATTCGAAATAATATTTCTATGACATAGGAAACGTCCGAACTTCCTAATTACATTAAATAAAATGTACTTACCACTGTCAGTTTCTTCTGGTAGCTGGTGGCACTCTCAAGAGGGAAGAGAGGACTGTTGTGTCCAACTTGGCGTTCCCATTGTCCATGGAAGTCGTAGGTCATCACGTTGATGAAGTCCTTTAAAAGTATTTTGTAATATTAAAATCTGTTACATGGTGGTCTAGCTTAATTATACCATATTTTAAACTTCTGATATGTTCCTATAGTACCTCTATAACAGTATCACATTACAAAACATTAATGAAATAAAACAGTTAATCAATGTCGATAGCATCAACCTTCACCTTTTAGGAAGTATTGCTAAGATTCAAACCACAGAAGCTATCAAACACAAATAAACAGACATTTAAACAGTTGAACAGCTTACCAGGTATTTAGAAATCTCAGGCACGTCGTATCCAGCAGCGATCGCTTCGAAGGACGCAGGTACAGCAGCAGACAGGAGCAGTCTTGGCTGTCCTGACGTCTTAGCTTCACCTTCGAAGGCTAATCGAAGTTCCTTGAGTAGGGAAACGAATGCTGCACGGTCGTCACCTCCTCTGGAAGTTTAGAAATAATTTAATGATAAGGTTTAGTAAAAAAGTATTAAGGCAATAAGCTCACTGCTAAGTAGAAGGTGTTGTTCTCAAAATGGGACATAATTTTGAAAGATGAAATTGAGAAACTCGGTTTTGTCCTTTGTAACAATTTGTGAGAGAATTATCTGATTCCTAACAACCTTTTTTTAACCACTAATTACTATTATTGCATAATTTTTCAAGTTAAGTTTAAACCCCAGATGAAAAGGGTCAGTAATTGTGGTTTGTTGATGACAAAATACAGCCAAAAATTTACTAGCATATTTTAACATGGATTATGTACAAGACAAGTGTTGGACATCGTAAATATTTATTTATATGTTGTTTGGCAACCAAGGTCTTGCATATTAACCAAATATAAGTAGCTTGTGTTATTAAGCACCTAAGGTTACGATACCACCAACATAGTTCACAAACATTGTGCCACACACATGTATAAACATTTGACAAACGACCTTGGCCAAACAATTTCTTAATCTGTTCCTAATTTTGATGAAACTTTGGAATTTTATCCAATTGTTAATGATAAAGTAACGTTGTTATATAATATTTGTAATTTCTTAATGAAATATTGGTGTGAAGGTTCGTTCTTGAGTTGAGTAAGAAGTTTTTAAATCAATTATGTAATGATAAGATTGATGTTATAAAACAAACGCCTTTAGGTTTATTTTGGACCATGTTCCGGAATGTTTTGTAATTTTAACTTTGATAGAATAATAAGAAATACGATATGATTATACAGCTTCTTGCTTAATTTCCTTGTAAAAATGTAATATTTTCATTGTTTCCAATGTTTTTCACTAAACTGTATAGGTACCTATTTTGTTTATTGTGTAAAATTTCTTGGTACAATTTGTCTTTGTATCATATTTTATATATAAAACATAAGAATGTAATTCCCTTACCTAGGATACTCCCAGTCTACATCCAGACCGTTGAACTGGTAGTCCCTGAGGAATTCAATAGCTTCGTACACGAACTGGTTCATACGGAACACGTTCGAGGTCAATTCTTTGAAGGGTGTGGAGCCGAAAGCCCAGCCACCGATGGCGAGGAGGATCTGGAAGATTACAAACGCGGTAAAATTGTGATTGTAGTAATGATCTTCATTTTGAGTAAAACCGTTTTAATTTATTAACATTTTCAAATCAAGCGTTTAAAAGACAAGCACATTTAAAATCCCTACGCTATGGTGATTTCACATTCAAATTAAAAATGTAACAAAATTTCACAGTCATTTAAATTCGGCCTTAAAAATCTTACCTTCAGATTGGGGTTCTTTTCTCTCAAAGCGACGACTTTATCGTACATTTCTGCGTCCTTCTCATCTCCTTCTGTTAGCTTGTGGTCCTTTAGGGTGGCGAAGGCATATATGATGTGGGTACAGAGGGTAGGGTCCACGTTTTCTGGCAGGAAACGACCAGCAGACGGTCTCTTCGAAGACCAAGAGGTTAGGTAGCAGAGGATCTGTGGTTCACGTCCTGGTAGAAGCAAAATAATATAGTTTTTAAGTAATTAAACATTTTCGTCTTTAGGTTCATAATTTGATTGGGTACCGAATTCAAACTAAAGCTTTAGCGGTCAATAGGACCATAGTTAAAATTTGAATTCCCTCACTTAAAAGTTTATCAACCATTTTTATATAGATTAACTCGTCGAGTACCGATTTTGTAGACACAATTATAGAACAATAGGATGCGGTCACCGGTGACCGCTTGGTGTTTGACAGTTTAAAACAATAAATCTTTATTAAGCCTAAAATTTTCTAAAAGTTCAAATTCATATTACCTCTAGATTAAAACGCCCATTCATCATACGTTTCAAAATCTTTTTCTAAAATCACTAATTCGTTTTAGAATGGTCTAATTCTGCTCATAAATTTAGTTAGAAATCTGCTATGACTATCATAATGCAATTTAGTATTCATTAGGTTTTTTAATAAAATTTGCGTCCATCACTCACAGGCGAGTAATCAATGTCTCATCAATTATGGAATGTAGATTCAGCTTTTTTAATTTAGTAGAAAGTGAAGTAATGCGGTTTCCATTTTTTATTTTAATAGCAGTGACATTACTGCAAGTCTGGGTCTAGCAAAATTTGATTTGGAATCTTATTTCTAATTTCCTTAGTAATCCAAAATTGTACCCACCGTCCAAAACATATCAGTAAAATAAAATATCAGAAAAATGACAGCGAAACAAGAACCAAGTTTTATACCAAGAAATCTGTATCTCAAAACCACTTCAAACCCACATTTCGTGTCCCAAATAGAAAGTTTCCTTCCACAAAAATACTTAAGGAAGTATAACATAATGCTTTACATTGAAAATATGTTATTTATTACAATCTCTTCACTTCAGAGGCCGTAAAACTCCAACGTACTTGTTAAGATGTCGGTTGGCAATGTCATAAACTTGACGGCATTAAATCACAAACCCCATTTAGACACCGTTACCAATCCAGCTTGGTCTACCCTTGCCCTCCCTAGCACTCAGAAATGTACCACAAAAGTATCTGCAGACACATTTTCACAGGTCTTAAGACTTTGGTCCTTGATACTACTTGAACGTAAAAGCATTCGATGTTTCAAACTTTTAGCAACTATGTCACGAATTGTCGACTTTCCTAAGCCATTCTTGGCAACAACAGTGGGCCTAAGAGTGACCCTTGCGGTACTCCGCGGAATGTCGAGCTTTTAGTGTCAAACACACTTTCTGTTGTTTTTGTTCCTAGTGCTTGAGATTTCAAGTCAGAACATTTGCTAATGAAAGTTTATAAGCAGTTTCGCCTTAATTTGAAGACTTTACTTAGAGATGTATAAGGTACTTATCCATTGTGTTAAAATTTTGGTCGTAATATAAAATATCGCAAACAGTTAACATGGTCACCTATTAATGCCAGGCCCTTACTTTTTATAACCTTTCATAAAACACATTTACTCTCGTGACCTCTCTATTAGGATAGTATGATACGACAGCGCGTCGATACTAAAGGACCGTCTCTTAAAATTCCCAACATATTTCTTGGGGAACTCCAAACGGGAACTGTCGATACAGGTGCCAAGTGAAGCGTTAAAGACTCAAAAATATCTGCCATTTGCTTCCAGACATTGTTTATTTTTCCTGATGGTAGAAAATGGAATTTTCCAAACATGTTTACATGGAAGCTTTGCGCTTGACGTTCCTAAAAGAGTTTTGCTAAACGTAATCTCAACTTTGTACGCTTTGAAGTGATTGGGAGTGATTCCTATGTGTCGTACGATTGAATGTACACTATGGCTTGAATTTTAACTCTGTTTGGAAAATTACACAAAATTATTCTGAGTATTTTCCAAAACAATAGGCTTAGGGGTCATTTATATTGAGGGATTGGAGAGCAAAAAATCGTAAATTAATTTGATATATCTTGGTATTTGCTTTAAAAATACACCTCTGTTTAAGATGGAAAATACCTTTTGCATTAAACACAGAAACTAATAACTTTATTTAATGGAAACATTCGTTTCTAAGATCTAAGTCAAGATGATTAAGCGCCAATCAGATGACATAACACCAATCAAAATATCGGATGACAGAGATAAAAGCGAAGAATTTTAGAAAGTTAAACTATTTAAAGTAAAATTATAGCTAACCATTGTGGGTTCGGTAAATGGCGTCAATTATCAACTTATCAACATGTTGTGAAAGTGTTTTAACATGTTATTAAACAATTTTCGACGTTTTGCCGTTGACAAAATTATATAGGAAACGCGTTTTTGTATTGGTATTATAGTGAATGGTAGTTCCGGTATACAAAGCTGTTGGTTTTAATTGCAATTACGAAATTCTTAAATTAGTAATTTACAATTTTTTTTCGTTGGATTTTTTGTAGAACATTTGTGTAAGTGAGCTTTACGCAATATTTAGATTTCTGCACTGAGCAGTATTTTTCGACCTTTCATCTCAAAACTGGTTTTTACAAGTAGCCAATTTGTTGTGAAAAGGAAACTAAAGAATAAACTTACTGTTCTTGTCAATAACAGCATTGTTGTTGTTCTTGATGATGACATTCTTGACAGGCTTCTTAACCCTCTTGAGGACATCGGAGAGGCTGATCTTGATGGGTTCTGGTTTCTCAGTGACTTCAATGAGAGCACTAGAAGCGACTGATGCCCAGTCGACGTCTTGAGCGTCCTTACCACGAGAAATGCCGCGAAGTTCCTCTCTGTAAGGGATGAATAGAGTTTAGAAGCTGCTGATGTTAAGTAAGAATGAAGATGATGAATACAAATATTGAATAAAGAGTTATGTAAGTTTTTGGTGTAACTTAAACTTAAGTAATATTATTTTCTTACCTCATAGCACCAATCAGAGGGTATTTGACATCACCACCACAAACGCTTCCGCTGAAGTCATCCATATCAACGGTCCATACCATAGCACCACCGAAACCATTGTCTTTAATCCATCTGCAAACAAATGTTGCAATGTAAGTTAAATCTGTATTTTGCTTAAGATTATTAATTACCGTTAGTCTAGAAATTAACTAGGTAAGATTGATGAAAGTCCAATTTAAGAAAAATAAATAGTAGTAAGTCATTCAAGTTATCTGTGTTTAGTCAGTTTACTTGCCTAAGGTACCTACTAATGTTCCGATGTTACTTAATTCAGTGTAATACTTTATTCAGTTGTTAAGATCAAGAACAGCCAAAAATGCAACGAACAAAATTACTAAGACACCACACTCGAAAGTTGCAATAAAATTATAAAACAAAAAACAACCTTGAGAAAAAATATGAGTAAGCCCACAAAATTTTGTTTACGGAAATACAAATTTACTCGTAAAAGAAACCAGGGGTGTGATGATGGATGTGGGAGAAACGATACCGCTAAGAAGGAAGTAAATGTCGACACGACAGCTGATAGAGATGGATAGCATATACCTCTACAAGAAGCGTATAACAAATTAGAAAAATTGAGAGGGACTATGAAAGGGACTTTGCATATTAATCTGGCTCTAAGAGCACAATAATTAAAATGTACTATGCTTTTGCTCGCGTAGTCCTGTGTTATTCACATCTTATTCGCATCCTATCGCTTAAGTATCCCATACTCTGTATACCAAAATTCTCAAAATCCGTTTAGTAGTTTTAGCGTGATTGACGGACAAACTTCCAAACAAAGGAACTTTCACGTTTATAATATTAATGTGATTGTAATGAATCTTTTGTATCCGAAAAACAGTATTTTACCTATTTGACAATTCAACAGTAGTGTGGGATTAACTATGCAAAGACTAATAACATTTTATCTAAATTCGAAATTAAACTTGACAACTCATCTCTGGTGTTTGACATTAAAAAACACTCAATCAACAATGTCCGTACTCTTTTTCGTAAAAATTTCTCGACAAAATATCAAATATCCAAGAATGTTACCTCATTTTGTTCCTGATGGATTTCTCATCGTCGAAGCCAACCCATTGATCTCCGTTGATGGCGTAAGGCACCTTCATTTCATCATCCCAAACGTAGGTACCACCGTTTCTCAATATCTCACACACCTGTGGAAATTTTGGTTTTACTTCACTATATTCATAAAACATAGGTTTTTGAGAACAATGCCGTAACTAATTGAGGGAAAGCTTTCAACATATTCAGACAAAACTTTTGTATTATCGTCAAAGAATGAGTTGAAATTACTAAATGTATATTCACTTTCTTTTAATATCCTATAATAATACGGGACTAGTATTATATTTACTACGAAATAGATTCTTAAAAAGTGAGAATTTCGTATCTAAATAAATAATTGTTTGTACGCTAATCGTGCAATCGGATCCAACAGCGTAACCTATCTATTCGATTATAAAGTCATAATTAAATCGAAAGCGTAAAACAATATAGCATTAAAAGATAATTCTCATTTCATAATATTTATACAAAATCTCACTGAAACCCATTAACTAATGAAACAATAACATTTTCACAAATTCTGTACAACATCATTTTAATCTTCATTCGCGAAGATAAATCTGCTCAATTTGTAACACCCACAAAGTAGGGATAATGTCTTGAAAATTTAACATCTATTCGAACCGTTTTTTAGTGAATGAAGAACAGTTTGAACACATTTTCATATTATCGACAGAAGAAAAAAAATAAAACGAATTAAACGTAAACAATGGCAGGTTATTACGTCATTGTTTTATAAAAATGATACTTAGGTATGACGTCATAGCATGTTTTAAATCAACATTTTGCTGTAGATATTTTGATTCCGTAATGAAATAAAAATATGTATCCAATGCTTTTAATTAAATTTCCAAACGAAAATTAAGAAAAAAAAGGCATCATTCATACTCCGTCTCATAAACATCTGAACAGGCACACATAAATCACTTGGAGGCAATATTTTTTAATTACAATATAACAGTAAGTACCTCATAGTAGGCAAGGAAACCTCCTTCCTTTGTGTATTCTCCAGCTTTGCCTCCTCCACTCGCGGGAGAATTCACTTTAAAGTTATTGGGGTTCGAGAGGGTGAACGTTCGTCCGTATGTTGGCATACCTGAAAATGATGTGAGTCATCAAAATATTCAAGTTTACTTGTCTTGAGAATGTGAGATTTTAGAGGTGACATGACATAGTTGGAGTGATTAGGATTAGCGGAATTTGTTTAAGATTTATACTGTAAGTGGCTTTGTAAGTTTAACTTTGACGTGGTATATGTTGTCTTTGTACAGTAAGTTTCGTGATGAAACATTATATAATAGAAGGATAATTCTTGTAACATTCTACGTATTATATCAAACAAACTCTGTCCATTAACCTATCGTATCGAACGCAGATCCTCGCGAGACACAATATATTTTCTATTGTGTCTTATATACCGCAGTTAAATAAAATTTTTAACCAGGTCTTCAAGTTTTATTTATCTACAACCACATGATCCACGAACCAATAAAATTTCGTAATATCATAATTATTTAGAAATCTAAACGATGTACATTTTTATGCACTTGAATTAAACATTATGCACTGAAATACTCACCAATGATAAGTTTCTCTTTAGGAGCACCAAGTTTGACCCAGAGATGAGCAGCGTGGTCTACAGACAGTTGCTTCCTCCACTCGGAGTCTGAGGAGGGCGCGTACAGAGGGGCGTTGTGGCCAGTTTCCCTCTCCCATTTACCGTGGAAATCGTAGGCCATGACGTTGATGAAGTCCAGATAGCTAATCAAATAAATAGTTGAAAAATTTGTCCATTGTTGACTTTAAAATAAAGACACAGATCTCTGTTTTTTAAGGTTGTCTACATGGGAAAAATAAATTAATTGCCCTTTGAAAAGCTGTACTTATTCTATTCAGCCGAGTTCCAGTAGGTGAATCAATGGAACCGATATATAGCTGATAGATATTATTGCTATATTTCGTTCTTTTACCAAAGAAACAACGATAGCAATCTCGATGCTTGCAAACATTTTGACACCACATGTAAAGGAGTTATTGCAAGAAACGAACACATATTTGACAAGCACTCAAGTAAAACTGGCATTTCTATTAAAACTTCGCAATCAACAAGTCAAAAAGGATACATAGAACTTGAAAGGTGACAGCATAGAAATATAAACAACACAATACATGATTTGATAGACATGCCAAAAGATAAGAGGACATCAAAATACGAGTGTAGTTTGACAAGCATAATTATTGTTGTTCTCAAACAGAATATGTAACTCCTATTCCCAAAGCACAAGACATAAAATAAAACAACAAGTTCCCAGTCAATGTATTAGCTAAATTGGTAACGCCACACAATGTATTTGAATGTGAGAAAACCCATAAGTCTGGGTGCACATTGTTAAAAATTAATTAATAAAAAGGAATTTTCTCAACAATCATGCGATACTTGCTTTACTTCTAAATTATTTGGGTCACTATTAAAACGCAAATAGACCCAGGAAGATAGTTTTGGGTAGAAAAACTCATTTGTAAATTACTGGGCCAGCAAAATTAAATGGGTGTTTTGCGAAATTATTTCCTATGGGCCTTTTAGCAAATGGACTAAACCTTTGGGCATTAATAGTAACAGTTGCGTTAGTTTTTGGTCCTATATATTACAAAACACATTAGTTGTGGACGTTTTTAAAGCTGGAGTGCTCGTGATAAATAGTAATGGAAGCCCTGGGTTAACGGTGTGATAAATATCCTAATTTGATTGGGATTTTTTGTATCATAAGGTAAAGTTGTTATCTGGTTAGGTAGTCGATAAAACTGCCTATTTAAAAAATGTACAATATTTTTGTTTTTCCTCTTTTATCATAGGAAAAATCAGACGTAAATTTAGAGATATTTAATGATACACGTTTCGGATCTCCTTTTGGGAATTACGTGCTCATTATTTATACGACTCGTCACTTTGAAATGAGCAAGCAGCTGCAGTGGGCAATTAATCAGTAGATACCTTAATTTTAACCTTATTTTGCCCTTCAATAATGACTATTACAACTTTGTTATCGCTGTCTTATTTCATATCTTCATAAACTAAATTAAATAGTTACCTAGCAACAGCAGGCACATCATATCCACCCTTGATGTTGTCAGGACCGACTGGTACAGCAGCGGTGAGGAGAAGACGAGGTTTCTTTACTTCTTGAGCTTCAGCTTCGAAGGCTTCGCGTAATTCTGTAACAAAGAATATATTGTTTAGAATTTCGTTTCTTTAAATCTTAATTTTAGTCATTGTTTATTTATTTATTTTAAATTATGCACATACATAAGCACATGGGTGAATTTAATGCCGTAGATATTTCTTACCACCTTGGGTGATGCAGAAAAATGTTACCAGAGGGTGCCAATTAATCAACTATTTTAAAGTTAGATTGGATAGTAGTTAAATACAATAACTTAAAATAATGTCTTATGTTTAATAATTATCTTAGGTAAAACTCGTCATTTGCCGCCCCACATTAATTTTAGACATAACTCACACGATGAAACACAACGCAATTGTTGTTTCACGTTTGTTTTCTGCGAGGCCGTGGTATCACTCCGGTCAAGTCGGCCCATTTGTACCAAAGTGCTCACATTTAAAGTTAATCATACATATTTTATTATTAAAAATTGGTTAACGTGATATTACACACATTATTTTATTATAATAGTATCGAAGAACTCAATGCAAAAAACTAATTTGATTAAACATAATAACATTAAAATTATAATACAATCTTAGATAATAGCCACCATTTTCGTGACTCATAAACCTGCCATAATATTAAACAGACAATTCATAGTACTTTAAACAGAATATACGTTCAATAAGCTTCATCTATCTAATGATGTTGCAATGGAGATTGTGTGCGAGCATTCAAAATGGCTATAAACAATCCTAATCCAAGTTAAATCACACGTTTCCAGCTATGACTGACATTCGATTATTATCTTATTAAGTATTTCTCACCTTACATTGCTTTAAGTTTAATTTAGATTATAAGTGTCTAAATGAGAGATCGCATTAACTTGTCATTGTATCTTTTCCTTGTATCCTTTGAAGGATTGGGTAGAGGAACATCATAATTCACTAATTATGCGAAAGATTTTGTGCAATTATGGATATATGGTCCAGATTTTTTTTAAGACCGGGCAATCATCTAATGACTTCTCCCGCCTGGATGAGGAGGGAGGGAGTGGTGACAGACTCTTATTGAGCCCCAGTAACCGTTTACGTTCCCCGTGGCTCCGTAAGGTACAGAGATGGAAAGATAGATTGTCTGATCTAACAAAGTAACATATGTGTTAACATGGGGTACGTTTTATTCCAGGAACGCAGCTGACGCTGCTGGCAGAAGCTAGCTAGCAATAGGGCATTATCCATTGCCATACAATAGACACGATTTTAATACAGAGTCAGTGCGTAACTGACATTCTCAAGCCCCAAAAATTCCGATAAAATTTATCTCAATACGAGGATTGAAATCACAATCACTGCTCTTGAGTTAAGCACTTTGGTTAGCAAAATTACTCAAGAAGTAAATAAACAGATATCAACATAACCTAACCATATTATAACAGTTATCGAAGTAAAGGAATTTTCGAAAGGTTCCTCTCTAAATGTAGCAAGGACAATGAATGATGTGTCTAGTACCCACTTCTAGGCCAAGAGCCTGCCACACAAAACACAACGTCATCTAACAAACCAGTATTATTGTTAATTAATTTTTTCTCTGTTTGTTTCAACAAAAATGTCAAGCATGTGACGATGCGCAATAATGGTTATTATTACTGATAAATTATGCAGAAATTTTGTCCTAGGTATGTATAATTGTGTGAATTTAATTGATTTTTTTTTTGGATTTTTTAAGAATTTTTATTACTAAAATTTTTGTTTTTTTTTTGTTTACCTTGAAACTTATTGATAAATTCCGTGAGTGGCCTATATTTTTTATTAAAAGAAACTATTTACGGTATGTATCTAATTTTATTATGTTTTAAATATTAAGCCCTTATAATAGAGCCTTAGTTATACTTTTTTAGTTTTAATTAGACATTTTTCACCTAGATTAGGAGACTTCATTATTTGTTTTACTGGTGCACTGTAATAGTAGTATAGCATGGAAGTACGAAAGGAAAAAAAAGGAGAAAAGTACAAATTCACTAAGAAATTCGATTAATATCATCCTTGTAAATGCACCAATTACTTGAATTTATTTTCACTTGAATGAGTAACATAAATTAAATATCCAGCTCCTCGACTATTCGCATTTATAGCCGTCTGATTGCTTATTGTGTTACTCAAAGTACGAAATTCAATTGTTTTTAATCGAAGAATGTATTCAATGAGAAAGAATCGTGAATGATCGTTCCATTGGCTTCAGGGTTGAATTGTTATGTGAACAAAAGCCAGCCAAGCAAAGTTTGTAAGAAAAGGAACGATAGGTTTTCAAAGAAGTAGTTTGAGCTTTGTGAAATTCTTTTATAGTACTTTGATTTGATTTTGCTTTAAGAAGGCGAAAATACATTATGTATGAAAAACAGAAATTCCCTAAAGTATTTATTTTTAATCAATCAAATGCAAAGAAACGTCGATGACATTCACTTTTGTCAATATCAATCAATTTTAATCTTAATTCCAACGTCAAAAGGTTCTGACTTTAACACAAATACCTTCAAATTATAACTCCAGCAGTGAATCCATATAAGGTTTCACACACTAAATCATTTCTATTCCGAAAACAAACACAATATAATTAGATGTCAACGCAGTGAACCTCACAATAGTGAATATCCGACATAAAGGCCATTCCAATATGTCTAGGTATCCTATTAAATATTATAAATTGGCCGACAGAAACCTAGCATCATATCTTCTTATTTTCAAAATTATGAACAGAAGTGAAATGAAAAATAATCAAAAAGCTATAACTGCCAAAAACCTGAGCAATGAACTGGTAATTTCATTGGTGTTGTGAGTTTCCATGGGCGGCACCAATTGCTGATTCTTATGGTATCAGATGATCCATCTGCTCGTTTGCCGTCCTATCACGTAAAAAAGAGTCACAATAAATAGTGCCTTATGAACGTAGGGAACTGTTTAATTGCATCAGAGCGCTATTGAATCATAATATCAAGTCTAGACGTTTAACATTTCGTTAAATACAAAATATGTTGTTTTCATGCAGAAGGCTTTGTTCGTCCATGATTGTGAAAGGTATATAGTGAACGTCCGATGAACTCGTTAGCCTCGGTTCTATCCTGTATATAGACTGATATATAGTCCATATAGGATGGGTACGATTTGTAAATTAGAGTTTTGAGAGCGACATATTGCTAAATAGTTATATTTCTGTTTGAAGCAGATTCTATCGAAAATTAACTCGAGCCGACTATTGTCAGTTGTTTTATTTTAAAACTTGTTCAGTTGTTATTTGACCTAATCATTACCAAAACTGAGTTGCACAAAGTATTCTTCAGTTACCCATTGCGACAATAAACCTCCCCGACATCAAACAGGTCAACTTAAACTACTTAAAGAATATACAATAAGATAGTTGCCAGGGAATGAAAATTAAAAATGTAATTATATAGTCCGTCAGTTAGATAATGATAAAATATTAGACACGTATTTTTTTATTTTCTCGTATAAAGTTACAATGCTTAGATAAAATGGAGTTAAGTTTAGAAGTGGGAGGTCGTTACGTTACTATTTTGTAGCGCATAGTGACGTCACACGATATTTCATATTAATATAGAGGTATAGTCGATGTTATTAAATTTTGTGAGAAAATAAAACTACATTAAATAAAAATAAAATTAAGGCAACTGCCTTATTACTATCGACTGAATAGTTACCTTTAACAAAACAGTAATGTATATCTGGTGTTTCAACATGTTTCTGTCTAGTATGAGGCAAAGACGTGACTTTATACTACCTATGTATCTAGGTTTTACATAACAGTACGCTGCAGAAAATCTAGACCAGACCAACATTGTATAACTGTTACTAGATCACATTTGAATATGTAAGAGCCAAGATATTGGCTTTACGCCATAGTTTCTGTATTTCTATACACATATATATACGACTTTACGAACATATTATTTTATTTTTGATATTGTTTTTTTATAATATGTACTACGAACGGTGAAGACGAGGTGTTTCAAGTGTGGGAGAGCCATGCTTCGGCACGAATGGGCAGGCTCGACCGGAGTGATACCACAGCCTCACAGAAAACCGACGTGAAGCAACGCTTGCGTTGTGTTTCGTCGTGTGAGTGAGGTTACCGGAGGCCCAATTACCCTCCCCTTCCCCAATTTCCCCAATTCCTGAATCCCCAACGATCCTCAAACTCCTAATCCACAAAAGGCCGGTAACGCACTTGTAACGCCTCTGTTGTTCCAGGTGTCCATAGGCGTGGTTCGATTCCCGCACGGAACAACTCTTTGTGTCATCCTCAGATTGTTGTTCCGTGTCTGGATGTCATGTCTATGTGAACCCACGACACAGGAGAAAATCCTAGTGTAGGGCAATGTATTTTTACTAAATAGTCAATTTATTGGATCCGAATATATTATTATTATTTTATCACAAAACAGTATAATTTGTGTGTTATAAGATCTTTGGTCCTTAAGTTCCATCCAACCACATAGAACACCATACTTCTTTTAATCCTCAGTAATTTACACAATCCGATCAACGCATTTCCGGATAATCTCATACACAAATCACACTATACATATATATCAAAAACACCAATATCACTTAACAATATAATTTATGTTCCCTATAAATAAAGTCGTAAACATATATTTATTTATTCGGGATACCGAATAACTTTTATTTATTTATTCGGACGCGAAACTAACCCTTTGCGTTACATCTCTACTGTGAAGGAACTAAATATATTCTATTGTAGGTTTCTAGGTTCATTTCTATGGTGTTAGACCTAATCTATACATCTAGGTATATTCCCCCTTGAAAAAAATACATCTGGGTATACAGATAAACAAAAATGGAGTGTCTATTTGTAATATTAAAATAACCGCTGCAATGGTATAAAACTTAAATAAATAAATAAAATAAAAATACATGTGTATTTTTATTTAAAATACATGTGTATTTTTATTATCCAATACAAAATAACATTTTATCCAATTTTAGTCTATCTGTTTGTACTGACTAATCT